ACTATGTAAACACCGAACACACCAAAAGAAAGAGTAGACTCTCTTCTTTCAGCAGGAAAAGAAATTTGTTTCTACCTTATTCCGTTCTTCCTGGACTTGCGTCTCACCGGCGACATTTCTCTCATAGCGAACCGTTACCTTTTTCTTATTTGCCTACAGTCTATGCTCATCTCCCATCAAAAGTGGCACTGCCCCCTAGAGGGTCAATTTGTTACTACATACTCTGTATAGAAGCCAATATTTAAGGACAAGCTTTAGCAGATCGTCCCCCATCTTTGATGTGTTTATTTTACTTTTAGGTGGTGTATTTGGCGAGTGAGACATTCCACTATAACGCCATCGACAGAGCGAAGTCCAGAGGGAAGAAATACGCCTTAGAAAAGGTCCCGAAGGTTGGACGCCGCTTCCACAGAGTGGGCCTTCCTCCCAAAGTAAGAGACCCGGACACATCAAAGCACTTTGGTCAGCTCCGATAGTTGTAAAGGTCTATATAAATAAATATTGATTAATTGATTGACATCAAGGACCCAGTGTAATAAGGCCTTCTCTTCTCTTTCCCTGGAGCTGTGCTCCCTTTGGTTTGAGCTGGATTGTGAACATTCTCTCACTCTCTCTTTCGTATTTTATTAGCATTTCCAGTAACAAACACTCTTAGATATTTTTTAGTGCTTGTTTAACTAAGTTAGAAACTTCTAATTTGAGCCAGATAGGGAAACCCCGATCCAGTTTATTCTCTTCTAATCCGATCCCGGCCTATCAGAGCATGTATTAAAGTTTAAAGTTATTTATCTACTTACTTAGTTGTCAGACTCCTGTTGAACAGGGATTTACTCTGATAACAACTTAATGGTTAGGACACAGACCTGTGGGTTAGAGATGCTAATGCTAATGCTAATGCTCGTGTGGGATCACACCTTTAAAAAAAAAAACTGGATCTGGAATCTGGACCTGCATTTTCTTCTGCCGGCCAATCCGATCCAGATATCGGATCGGGACCAGCCTAGTACACACTGCTCACACCGTGTGTGTGTGTGTGTGTGTGTGTGTGTGTGTGTGTGTGTTTAAATCCAGGTTGAAAACGCTTCTGTTTAACTGTGCCTATGGAAATTGAATGCATTTTGTCTGCACCCTTCACTTTTCATCTGTGAGTGACAACAGCACTGTTTAGTAGAGATCCTCGTTGCCTGGAACCGAAGGGAAATTAGATCGTTGTGTGGGACCGATCGATTGGAGAAATTGGATCGTTGCTAGGGGCCGATCAAAAGTAAACAATCCTCGTTGCCAGGGGCCGAGGAAAAAGTATTTGTTTAGTGTGACGGGATCCCATACGTGTTGTTGCAGTTGTTCTTATTGTGTTGATTATTTTACTTTTCTTGTTCTTTCTGCTTTTAAATTCTCTGTGAAGCACTTTGAATTGTCTTGTACACGAAATGTGCTTTACAAATAAATAGGGTTGTCACAATACTAAAGTGTTCAACTCGATAACGATACTCAGGAAAATACTCGATACCATTTTCGATACCACAAGGATAAAAACAAAGACCCCAAAATTTAACTGAATTTTTACAGGTTAGTGTCTTTCATTTCAAACTGACCTGTTACTGATGTTATGGTGCCCCATATTAACGACCCTAACCCTAACCCTAACCCTAACCCTACAACCTTCATAATTGTGAGAAATAAATATTTTAGGGATAGGCTCAAGTTCCCCCCGCGACCCCATCAAGGAATAAGCGGTATTGATAATGGATGGATGGATGGATGGATGGATGGTTAAACCTGTTTGGACTTGTTCTACAAACCTATTTAACATTACACTATCTTAACATTATATTATGGATAGAGTTTAATTAAGTGTTCGAAAGATTAATTTCACTATTTTTAAATTAATGTCTATATTGCCATGAGGCATTACGATTTTCTTTCCTGGGATCTTCCTATTGGTGACCTAATCAAAATGGCCGACTTGGATGTGGGCGGAGTTGGATATGTACTTGACTAACGGTAGCACGTTATTATTAACCATTAGCCGAAGCTAGCAGTTCAAGGCTAACGTCTTGTTAATGACCATAAACAACGTAAAAAAAATACATAAATAAATCAGAGAGAAAGGGGGGCTGGCGGTGGTATCGATACTTTTGAAAATGAGTATCGTATCCGTTTACAACATTTTAGTATCGATACTTTTTTGAGTATCGATACTTTTGACAACCCTACTAATAAACTTGCCGTGTGTGTGTAGGTGGGCTCCTTCCAGCTCTTCGTGGAGGGATACCGGGAGGCCGACCACTGGCTGCGGCGCTTCGAGGCCGAGCCGCTGCCCGAAAACATCCGTAAGCAGCTGCAGGCGCAGTTCGAGCGCCTGGTGGTTCTGGACTACGTCATCAGGAACACCGGTGAGGACCCAACAGGGACCTGGACC